CCCAATGGTTGATTTAGTGTTGCATTGACATCCACTGTCCTTCAACCAGCTTCCTGTGAGCCCAAGACATCAAGCTTCTGCCCCCCAACCTGGACTTGCAGAGATCTGTGCGACCTCATTATGTATGCTTTGTGTTAGTCTTTAACTTTGATAGCCATTTCTATGTAGTCGGCGCTGAAGACTGTGCAGACGCTTTTTCATGAAAAATGTAACTGTATTTAGCAGTCTATGGACTCCCTATTTGATGTGTCACCCCTGGGTTAGGACGGTAGGATGTGTGAACATGAGTGTTTTTTACTACTTTGCCCAATGTCTGATCTGCATCTGTGCAAATGATGTTCCAAGGCAGCTGGGAGCATCTGAGGTGAAACAAGTGCATTCTCTCTCTGGCACTGAGGGTAGCACATTAAAAGACTAAGCTTTTATTTAATTAGGCAAAGAAAGAGCCGCATAGTGCAGCAACCAGGCAAATTATTTTTTCTTGGTTTGATGATAATGAATTGGCCATAACTGACAATGGCTTGATTTCTATGTTTTACTGACTGCTCTCACATCATATTGCTCACTGAACTATCATTTAAGAATGTCCCTTTGTTGCATATTTTGGGGTCTATTCACTAAGCTGCCGTAGGCAGCCGAGTGACTAACTCAGACATCCCAACCTGCAAAACCTTCAGGGAGGTTCCCGTCTCATTCAGGAGGCAAGCCTTGTTCTGAGGCTACTCTAGAGATCACATGACCTTCCTCCAGGAGGCAAGCCTCACTCTGAAACTTTACCCACTGATATCTTACCGGAAAGGTTTACTCTTTCTTACTCTTACTACTTTCAGGGAGAAAATGCCTCTCTCCTGGACATCAGGGAGCTGCTGTCCAAAAGAGGGAGACTCCCTGAACATCAGGGAGACTTGAGATCCCTGCTAACTGACCCGAAGTGAAGTGAGCCGAACGCTGTTCGGCTATTCACTTCAGGCCGGTACGGCTGATTCCAGCCATGTATCGGCTGAAATCGGCAGTACATCGTGTGGCTTCGGCTGGCTTCGAAGTGCAGAAGGAGATCGGCTAAGCCGAAACTCCAGCAGGCTACTCGCTGCTATTCGGCCTATTCTCATAGATGCGGTGAGTGAATAGCCGAATGCTGCCGAGCGGCATTCGGCTCGGCTGTTCTGCTTGGTACCTCCTATGGTACCAAGCAGAATAGAAAAACAGTTAATAATGAAGTAAAAAATAAAATGGAAAACGATTGGGCGGAGCTAGCAGTGACAGCTAGCTCCGCCCAACTGTTTTCTATTTGCCGGGCGGTTCTGCTGCCGTCAGAATAGAAAAATCGCCATAGGATAGCATAGCTAGATTCCTATTGGCTATTTCACTTTGCAAAAACCAATAGCAAACTAGCTATTGCACCCGCCCTCTGCTGCAGTCAATCACTAGAGGGAACCTGATTGAGAACTTCAGGTCCCCTCTGCTGATAGGTGGCAGCAGTGGGCGGGTGCAATAGCTAGTTTGCTATTGGCTTTTGCAAATTGAAATGGGCAATAGGAATCTAGCTATGCGTTCCTATGGTTAATTTTCTTTTTTTTTTTCTGACGGCAGCCAACGGCTCCGATGTCGGAAGGAAAAAAAAACCCAGCAGGGAAAGGTTTACTCTGCTCGATTGAGCAGAGTAAAACTTTCCCGGAGAAAGTGTTTCTCTCCAGGCCGGTCGGGGGCCGCTATCTAATAGTGGGAGACTCCCGGAGCGCCTGGGAGAGTTGGGCTGTCTGGAGATCAGTGTCCCTGGTAACCAGGGACGCTGATCTGTCTGTGCAAGTGGCCGGAGTCCGCCGTGAGATGACGGCTGGCTCTGCCCAGCAGTCAGTAGCAGGCTGATTCGGCCAGCTTCGTCTTTCACCTCGGCTCAGTCGAGCCAAAGCATATGGCTTCGGCTCGACTGAGCTGCTCGGCCGACTTCGGGAGCTGTACGGGCTATAGTGAATAGCCCGTACAGCAGCCCTTTGGTTCTACAGCCCTTCGCTCCTACTGAACCGAAGGGGTCCTGGGGCCGAAGCTAGCCGATGGAGCAGCCGAAGCTACAGCTAGATCCTTCGGCAGCTTAGTGAATAGACCCCTTTGTCTCTAAGCATATATTTCAATCGCATTTCTCCTGTTTATTTAGACAAAATAGACATTTTAATTAGCATCTTGCTATAAAAATGAAAGATTGCAACTATTTATGATAATAAAGAGTAGATGCATAGTCCTATACAACCGGCCCTTTGAGGGTAACCATACTGCTGATGCGGCCTCCGATGAATTTGAGTTTGCCACCCCTGTCCTAGGCTGTTCTAGAGCTGACCATGGTCATAGGGGCCGTAGCTACCATAAGGCGAGTGAGGCACTCGCCTCAGGCGCAGCTGAGAGGGGCACAGGCAGGTCTGGCCTGGCAGAGAGGGACACAGCCAGGCAGCCAACACAGCCGCAGCTCGGCAGGGAGAGTGGCGGCACAAGCTCCGGTATCTCCTTGGATCCCCTTTGCTCTCCTCCCGCCTGTATGGGCAGAGGCAGCGGGGATCCAATGAGGGGGGTTGGTGGCTAGGCAGTTTTGAGGGAGCTGTCATCCAGGGTGGCCGAGCGGTGAGGAGAGAGAGCAGCTCGGCCAGGATCTGACAGCCGGTGGCACTCGCTCTCCTCACCACTCGGCCATCCTGAAGTGCCAGTACTCACTCGCCCGCTTCAGCGTTCAGAATGGCAGAGCGGAGGGTTGGTATATATCTGTGTTGTTTACTGATCCTCTTTGTGCAGAGCAAACACTGGAGTGATCAGCTGATCATGCTCTACATCACTTCCTGTTCATTCCTGAGTTTCTTAATACTCATGAATACTCATAATAGCACTCACTAGAGAGGCTTCTACCCATTGATAACCGGATGATGGTAAAATATTTATTATCACCAGTTTCTGAATTTCTGAATGAATGTGAAGCCTCTGTACTGAGGCTGCAGATGCTGAAGAAAAAGAGATTGAGAATTCTGTGT